TCCTTCCTTTCTCCTTCCATGACGCAAGCTTTTCAGATGACCATTTTACTCAAATGCAGTAGATGCTGTTTGTTTAACTCATTTTTCCATTAACGCTTTGTAAAGCCCATGCAGGCAGTCTCAGCTCACTTACTCTGGCTGTTCTCTAGGGTCCCAGGTATCATCAAATTCAGATCCTTCTGGGACCTCCTCTGTATTCCAAATATTTTTCCTGTTTTCAGATTTTACTTGAAAAGTACCTGTAAGTGATGAGGAAAATCACACTGTAATATTTTGGAATGTCTCTATTCCTCTAAGTTAGCTGAAAACTTCTAGGCTTTAGAAAAATCTTTGTATTAAAAGCATTCTAGTTAATGATTACAGTCTCCTTCACCTTAGTATCTTATGAATGAGAATTTGCAGAAGGAGGATGTTTTCTCTTCCTTTCCCTTAAATCTCCTTTACTCAACCACTATGCCAAGGAAATCCTCCTTCCAGGTATAAAATATCTAGCACTTTGAAATGGTTAAAGTGTAGAAGTATGAAATATTAATCTTCCCCAAGCCCCCTGACATGAGATTTTTAAGTAAGCAGAGTCTTTTACAAAAGGACCTCCTCCTCACATAGAAATCCAGTTCTTCCCATTAATTATTGAGCACAGTCCAGATAAGGTACAGAAGACACATGACATTTCATGGGCAGAATACTATGGTTTATGCCTATCCTACATGGAAAAATACTTTTTCTAGTAAGCTGGTAAATCGGCAACTTGAAGGTTTTTATAGTAGAATCTCTGCTTATTATTGGAATCTCAAGCAAAAATACTGTTTGTTCTATTTGCCACAGTTCCTTTCCTGCTACACTCATCCTGGTCCTTGTTGACCTTTCTTGTGGCTCATAACTAAGCTGTCGAATAATGTGACAGCATCAGCTTCAGGAAGAACTTTACATTAACTTTGCCAAGACTAAACTTGTCTTCCTTTCTTTCCTGAGTGCAATCCAAGGTATTCACAAAAATGTAGGGACCCTCAAGATATTTGTTCTCATTGTCTGAGAGTCTGCCTTTCTATATGATGCCAGAACACCTGAAGTCTGTTAAAGAATGCAATTATCTGGGGTTTCCAGACAAAGAACTAGGTGCAGAAAGGACAATAACTGAAAAATGTCTCTTGGTCTGTTGAGGGCAGCACTGAACAAAACTTCAATTTCTTCCCATGTGTGGTCTAGGTAGGGTTGTGAAGCTTTTGGGGGGAATATGGTATGACTGCTTTTCATGGTACACTTCATAGCTCTTCCTCCTCACAGGCTCAGTTCCACGCAGTTTACTCCATGAAGATCCTTTCAGGTGAGTACTTAGAAGTCCATCTTTCTTGTTTGCTCTAAGTGAGCATAAACAATTCCATGAGAGTACTTATATGGAGCTTTTTGCTGCTCAGTTATGATTCCCGTCAGCCCGTGACCAGGCTGTGCTCTGTACTCTGTTTATCATCACCACTTGAGGCTGCTGTGCTGAGTTACCCTTTCTACTTCTCTTTGTGTATTTCACAGTTCAGCTTTCAAGAAAAGAATAATTTTACATTGTAATTATAAAAATGTAATGCTATTTCCATCTCAAAGGTCAGTGACCACTCTCTTAATGAAGCAAACCCCATCAGTGGTACCTTACTACAGCTGTTATAGTCTGCTAATATGGGACTGAATGCTAAAACATACAAACATTCCTCCTTACCGGTGGTCTCTTTCTTCACTGGTCCAATACTACCAGGAGTCATGGCACTAACAGAACAGTGCGGCTGCAAAAAAGGCAAATGGAACTTCAACCAAGTTTCAGAGCGCCCAGCTCAGTAACAATGATAATGTCAATAAATATAAAATGTTACCTGACGTCAAGCAAATCCCTGCTAGAATCCAAAAAATAGTATCCCACAATTTCATGACCAAACCACCAAACATTCTCTCTTCTTCACTCTCACCCAGCAGAAAGTGACCTTGACACACTGGGTTTAAGCAGGACTCCCAGAAGCACAGTATTACAGACAGATATACTTTTTGAGTATTAGTTTCTATGGCATTTTGGCAAAACTTCCATGCTTTGCCTGCCATGGAAATATTGCAGAAAACTAAGGCTGCTATGTGAAAACCCCATCACAGCATTTGGATTCCTTTTGACAGTAGAGATCATATGAGGCAACAACATTTTCCTCTAATTATGAATCAATTTAGTGCTAATAGGCCAATGTGAGGCATTTCTCTATATATGAAGATTCCTTCCTTTGATAAAAGTGCCTCATATGCACAGAACATTAAATTAAATCAAAATAAAGATTTCAATTTACCCAGATTGACTCAGACTTAATTGACATCCCTTGTGGCAATTTTCCATTTCTGTCTCTGAAGTGTCATTCATTTTATTAATAAGATGTAAACAAATTCTTTTAAAATCAGGATGTTTACTGCAAAGATGTACAGCAATAATGCTAGTTTTAAAAGGCAGGCATTAAACAGCTGAAGGGTAGTTAAGAGTGTGAAGGACCACATCTACCACCTACTGAAAGGAAATTTCAAGGGATATGCACCCCTTTTATTTGAAATATTATTACCATTGCCACTACTAGAGCACAACCGCTGGGTCAGCCAGCTGGCTCTTTGTAGAGCAGTGATTTGGAGGAACACTGAGGCATTTGCCATTTTTGTTATCCATGTCATAACATTATTTGTTCAAAATCCTAAGAGACTTGATAAAATTTTGAGCCTTCACAGAGGCCTTCTACATTGTGCTTGTTGGCACCTGTGGCCCTCCTGGGATATTTCTCCCCAGAACACATGCATGCCTAGATAAAAGCAGCAGTTGCATACTGCAGGAACAACATGTGTTTTCCAAAATCTGTGATTTCATCTAGTCCTGAGATGAACTGATACAGAAGAATGGAAAGATATTTTTGTCATTAATCATTCAGATCATTCACCTTAGAGTGATTACGCAACCCTTCCCTATTCTACAATCACCAACATATCTATTGTACTTCAGTGATCAATTATTTCCACAGTTCTTCAATGTCTTACACACAGAATCAGTATGCTCAGCCGCCTCTGGATGTTTTAGTCTTTACTCAGAAGTTGAGCAGTAACTTCTTTCCCTTTGTATGAAGTATTCAGCTGTAATTGCCTTAATCTCTGGCAGATTTCAGGGAAAAGAAGGGGCAAGTCCAAAGTATCTAAAGCTCTTTCAACTACATGTTCTCATTTCCTTCAGGCTGAAAAATTAAATATCCCTCCTGTTTTGTGCTCACAATCTCTCCTTGTTTTCCTACGGCATCTTCCTCATTCTCTCCCTCAAGAGCTTGTTACCCTAAAAATATCTTCTAGCTGTTTCCGTCAGTCCAAAACCTTCAAAGGTTTTCATTCTCTTTTTACTCGCTGTGGGAAAAGAGATATTTCCTTCTCCTCAGTTAACAAGGTTAGGCTATGGTACAATATGTAAAAGCAGCAGCACTTCTTATGGAAGACTCACCACATGTTCATCATCATCTTCTTCTTGAGCACCACGAAGCAGTTTGGCAAGGGACTGTAGAGAAGAGCTTGAAGAAACACTGTCCATGTCAATACCCACTGCTCACCTATGCAGAAAAAATAAGTGACAGATGAAGAAAGAAAAAAGTCTGTTCTTTACTGTCCGTAAAAAACAATTTCCCTGCTGTGTGTTCTGGAAGGATAAAGTTTAGCTGAACTCTTACATGTGTGATGTCAAAACACATATAATGGAACACAATCAACCTTTCCTCTCTGCGCTCAAATTATAGACTCTTTTCTTCCACAGGCATTCATTGCAAACACAGCTCAAGCCTTATTATTACAGTGACTATTGGCTCTGGGCGGCAGAGCAAGGGCAGCAGGACGCCTTGGATGGCTTAGGGTAAAGGTCTTCAGGCAGGGTCCCTGCCCGGCCGCCTCGCTGCAGACGGGCATTCGACGGCCCCAGCTCCAGGCCCCAGCTGAGGGCGAACGGAAACACAGCGTGAGGGAAGCCCGACCTCCCCGCCGCCCCGCTCTCGGGCTGCACGGCGGCTCCCGACGCCGCGGTACCGGCCCCGGGGCAGCCC